GGTCACTTTGAGTATAAGTTTGTTGAAGTCAGAGCTCTAAATGACTTTTAATTGAAGTTTGAACGTTTCTTGATCAAAGATATTGTCTCAAAATTCGTTTCATGCCTTGAGATTCGAGTCATGCTTTGAGATTCATGCCAAATGATGAAAATCTGTTGGTGGCGTATCAATATACATCATTTCATGTATATAATTATGACGCCAAGATGTGATTAAGGCAATACCAAACTTTAGATATTAATCATGTAAATAAATAAAAATTGTATGAGATATGTATTTACATTTCCCTTTATTTAATTAGAACAAGATTTTTAGGGGCAAGCATAAATATAAACAAAAAACTTTTTTCTCTTAATTACTTATTATCTTATATGCAATTAACCGAGTTTGTGAGAGGTAAAATATGAAAAAAAATATTGTGTTCGGACGTTGACTTCATCCAGACAACGAATAATGGACGCAATACTGGGGGTGTTTCTTTGTTTTTTTTTTCTATGTTCTGTCCGATGTATCATGTTCAGACTCCAGACGCAATATTTTTTCGTAAGGAAGACAAATATCTAAGACATAATTAACCTTTTTTTTCTCCTTCAAAGTGGATAATTTATTGAAGGGAAACAAAATTACTAACATAAACATGATAAATTTTATTCTATTGAAAAATTTTAACAAAGAGCATGCATTGAATGTGTAATTTAATAGTTTTATAAGAAAGTTTAAAATTCTAGTTTTGTAAATAGCAATGTTTTGAGTGTTGTTTATGTAATTATCCCATTTTAAATTAGCAAATAGTCAAGTAACACATGCCAATAATAGATTTTATAGTAAATGAATATATTATAATTTTAGAAAATAAAAATAAGGTAATATATTTTATCATAATTTCGATAAGGATGCATGTTTGGTATGCATTTTTGGAGTCTAGCTATAAGATATTATTTTATATTTCTCAACATAATAAAATCAGATTTTAACAAAATATATATTATCTTGCTTACTTCTTCTTGGAGACAAAAATAAGTAGAGCTTTTTCTCATGGAGTAATGAAACATGGACATTGTTCTTTTCATTTACACACATGGCCCACAATTTTTATGCATTTGTGTTCAGAAATTAGGACGAAAAAAAATAAAAATCGACACAAATCCAGAAGAACGCGCCTACATTCTCGAGAACAGAGCGACGACTTTCTTTTTAATATTAAAAAAAGAGTACAAAATACAAAATATGAGATTCAGAATCTCATACTCACATGGGGTTACAAACATGCCACATGTAAAATCTTATAATACAATGTATAATTACTTAAATTATTCCTATATCAAATCGCGGGGTGTTGCCCCCGAGAAATTATTCTGTGTCTGATCCGGTGATCTACGGTCATGATATATTTCAGTTTTTTTTTTTAAATTTCAGGTGGGACCCACCGAAATACATCATGACCGTGGATCACCTGATTTACGGTCAGGATTGGACACCGCATGCATCTTGCATGCGGTGTGCATGCGTTGTCCTTCCGTATGAAATAATTTTTCGTTGCCCCCGCACCCCCAACCCACATAATGAAACTCCTCTGATTGGACAGATCCTTCCGCTTCACTCCGCTAGTGGGCTCCGCTCCACTTCATCTTTCCAATTTATGGTACATGAATCATACCTAACAAATCTCTACCATGACGAATATCCAGCCCCTTAGAAGAAATACATATACCCAATAAATCTCCAACTTGGCGAATATCCAGCCCTTTAGGAGAAACACATATACCCAATAAATCTACAACTTGGTGAATATCCAGTCCTTTATGAGAAATACATATATCTAACAATTTGCATATAAAAAATTAAACTTCCATTTTTTGGGGCATAGATATGGATAAATTGTAAGTAAAAATTGAAGTTAGGCAGTTGATATGTTAATACATAAGAATTAAGCGGTAGATATGTAGATCTTCATTAATTTTTATATTTATACCACATATATCTTTCAGTCAAATAAATAGTTTCATGCACAACTACGCCCATATAACTTAAACAATTTATCTATATAATAATAAAATTAAAAAAAAATTCTTATGTTATTTAGATAATTTAGTAATTCTCTTTTCTCGATATATATATATATTCTTAGGTTCCCCGCATCCTTACGTTTCTTAAGGACAACAAAAATGACGATATTTTTTAAGCACATTAAATTGCATGGGATATATTTCATTAGAATACTAATATTTATGGTTAAAAATTAATTAATTCCATTAAATTAGTAATTAAAAAAAATTAAAATCGACATTAATTCACTCTCTTTTAACTTCGGGCTTTTGCCATTTCGCATCATGACTTTCTACATTCCTCATTACAAATTAAAAATAAGAAATAAAAGCTGTTTTAGGTATTAAAAAAGAAAAAAAAAACTCTTCACATTCCCTTTTTGAATAATTACAAATTAAATGCACAAAAATTACTTTTCAAACCAACTTATATATATATTTATATATATATATATGTGTGTGTGCGCGCGCGCGCGCGTTAATTTAAAATTGAATATATTTTTCAAACTCCATCTTTAGCCGACCCAACAGCTAAAAATCGACCCAAAAAAATATTCAATCCGAAATTTTGGCTCATAACTCGTCTATCCATGCCAAAATTCGAATCAAATATTGAGAAAAAAAACAACTCGAAAAAAATAAAAAAAATTGAAAAAAATAATAAAAAAAAAGGGCAGCAACTCATAAAAAAAAATCAATTCATTAAAATAAAAAAAATGCTCAAATTTCAACATTTGGGCTCCTAAAATCAACTCAAAATTCTCTTTTTCGGAAAAATTTGATATGAATTCGACGGTTTAGATTCTTAAACCCCATTGCCAAGGCTCCTGCACCCGTCTCTTCAGCTTTGGGATCGTCTCAAACGGCCTGCCTTCCCATCCCAGCTTCGGGCCCGTGGTAAGAAAATCTTTTTTTTTTCCTACACAGGGATCAAATCTGCCACCCGTCGCGTGGTGAAAAAAATCTCTACCAATTGAGCTACACTTATTTGCTTAAACATATAAATGTTTATATTATTCTTATATAAATTCTCACAATAATATAATATATATTCACACGCGCGCGCGCGACAAAAATAAAAAGGCTTTAGATCTTTATATTTTTTGTAGCAAAGTGATTTCATCCACAAATAGAAGGCAACTCATCTATCTCCAATAAATCTCCATCGTCCCGCACAAATCTCGAGGCATAAAATAGATCTCGAGGCAGCTTTTTGTGCAAGATGTATTCAAACAACGATAAAAACTCATCAAGAACTCAAATTTCAACAAATTTATAGTCAATCTAACCGACTCAAAAAAAGAACCCAATGTTGCCAAAATTAGTCAAATTCGAGTCAAATCAAGTTCAGATCAAGTCATTAAATCACCCTTTTAAGTTTTTTGAATCTAACAAATCTATAATCCAATCGAGCGTCTCGATAGGATGAATCCAACGGGCCTAAGATTGCTCAATTTCGACCTCGTTTAGACATTCAAATGTCCATCAAACTCCGTCTTATCGAAAGAAGTCATCCAGACCGTCTGATCAAATAGTTCATATTTCTGCATTTAATGCAATTAGAGCACTATAAATAGAGTCTCACCCCTCTCATGAGAGGGGGTTGGAGACTCGAGAGAGAATTTAAAGCTTTGAGAATGAACTGAGGTCCAGCACCACCATAGTTACCATCGATCGTCGCGGGCTGCCGTCGACCACTGCTGACCGTCGTCTACCACCACCGACTGTCGTCGACATCCGTCGACCCTCATCGATCACTTTCAATTGCCGCAGATCGTCGTCGACTGTTACCGACCATCATTGATAACCACTAACAACCATCGGGCAATACCGTTGTTGTCAATCTCCACCGGTTTTCGTCGGCCTCCTACCACCATCAATCAACAACAATCATTGTCGACTTCCACCGATCGGAAGGCGCCAGTTAATGTTGTAACTTGAAAAACATAGTAATAATTTCTCTTCTGTGGGACAAGGGGTCTCTGTAATTATCAACCTATAATTAATTTTTACATCTGGGCCAGACTCCGTGATTGTTTCTCTTTACGAGTATTTCATGTAAAAATTTCTAGCGTCATTATTGATTATTTTTTTTTATCTGAATATATGTTATGATAATAATTCATTACACTATTGTGAATTTTTCAGCGCTAATCAAGAGATTTAATAATTTTACCCATACCTCCATTCACACTAATTTAGCAGGTTCCCCTCATCTAGGGCTGTAAACAAGCTGAGCTTGTGAAAAAAAGCTCGTGCTCAACTCGTTCGAAATTGTTCGTATTCGAAATTAGGTCGTGTTTAAAAACGGCTCGTGAACAGCGTGTTTGTGTTCAGCTCGATTTAAATATTTGTGTTCCTGTTTAGCTCGAAATTGACTCGATAAAATTAAATTGTAAAAATAGATTCGAACATGAACCAAATGTATGCAAAACATGACGCATAATCACATTACCACAAGAGCAATTACAATTTGAATTTAGATATAAATATATATAATATATTATTATATAAATAATGTGCAATAGATTTTTATATAAATAATTATATAATTTTTTTTATTTCGAGCTAAAACGAGCCGAATACGAGCAAACAAAGAGTTGTTTGTGTTCGACTCATTTATAATTCGAGCTTTAAAAATTTATTCATGTTTTGTTCGTTCACATTTATTTAATGAAAGAGCCGAAAATAAGCTATTTAACGAGCCGAACACGTGCTGTTCTCTAACAACGAACTTTTTTGACAGCCCTTCCCTATCTTTATTATTCTGAAAACAAAAATGACAAAAATTGTTTAGCACGTTAAAATGCACGTGATCTTAAACCGATGATTTTTTTTAAAAATAGCAGTAAAATGGGCCGGCCCGTGAAGCATTCAATAATTTCTTAAGAGGATTACAATCACCCACAATGCAATTCTACAACGAGGTAACCTCACTTCAACCGGTGACCCGACCACATCATCTTCTTCCTCACCGCCCAACTATTAAACGCCCGCTTCCTCGTCCTCCCCCCACCCGTGACAAAAAGCTCAAACCCTAAGCTTCTCTCCCAAATGAACTTTTCATCTCTCTCTCACTTCCTCTTCTTCTCCCTCTGCCTCCTCCTACTCCTCCTCTTCACCCTCTCATGGCTCCAAACCCCCACCCCTCTCCCCACCTCCCCTGATCACCTCTCCACTAATCCAAAACCCATCCGATCCTCCAATCTCCCCTCCACCCCTTCTCACCCTCTCGACCCTCTCACCATACCCGAAATCACCGCCGCTCGCTCCATCCTCCTCTCCCACCCACTCTTCTCCTCCTCCCCTTCGCACCTCATCTTCCACTCACTCTCCCTCGATCCCCCCGACAAATCCTCCGTTCTCTCCTGGTCCTCCGGCCGCCCCCTCCCCCGCCGACGAGCATCCGCCGTCGTCCGATTCAAAGGCGAATACCATTCCCTCTCCATCGATCTCTCCACCGGAACCGTTTCCTCTCTCCCAAACCCTGCCTCTGGTTACCCCACCATGACGATCGAAGACATGACGGCATCCGCGTCCGCGCCCCTTTCCGATCCCGCCTTCAATCGATCCGTAATCGCTCGCGGCGTCCGGACCTCCGATCTATCTTGCCTTCCTGTTTCCTCCGGCTGGTTCGGACGCGAGATTGAGAACAGGAGGAGACTGATTAAGGTCCAGTGCTACTCGATTGAAGGTACGGCGAACTTCTATATGAGGCCGATCGAAGGTCTTACTGTCTTGGTTGATCTGGATACGAAGGAGGTGGTGGAGATTACTGATAATGGCAGAGATATTCCGATCCCTAAATCGGCGGGGACGGATTATAGGTTCGAGGCGGCAAAGGGGAACGATAAGGGGAGGCTGTTGCACCCGATCTCCATCGAGCAGCCGGAGGGGCCGAGCTTCCAGGTCGTCGATGGCCACAGGTGATGAACGGTTTGCGCGACTTTTATCACTCAGTTACTGGTGCGAACTTTTTTTGGGGCATTTACGAACATACCACCCAACTCTTATGTATTTACATATCAACATCTAGACTTTAGTTTTTATATCACTTTAATTTTTTATATTACATTAAAAAATATAACAATTTTAACTTTTTAAAAGTGTATGTAATTAATTTTCTTAACTTAATTACATAAGAATTATCAATGGCATTTATAATTTTGATATGTTGTTAATAGTTTTGATTTTACGAGAAAGAAATCAATGATATTAATAAAAAAAGAGGGTGTTAACATGATAATAGAAAAATAATCAATGAAACTGCGTTCGGGGTGCAATGGTGAGTCGTCATGTGTTAAGTGAACTCTATCGTAATACACTGATATTGACCGGTGTTTGAAACGGTGAAGCCCAATTGACACAAGACACCCCATTATTGGACTCCGAAAGTATCAGAAGTCCTGATGTAATATTTTTTCGGAGATTAATTACTTTAACAAGCTAATTGTCTGTAAATAGTTCTTATTTGATTTGATTTAACTCGAAATAAGAAATATGTAAATAAAGTAAAATTTTAAGCTTAGATATGAAAATTTAAATATGAAATATGTAAATACATAAAAATTTTGTGTTGTAAATGTAAATTTTCTTACTTTTAATTTATATTTATTAAATTTTAATTTTCTTACTTTCAATTTCATTCATTTCTTCTAATTTAAATATAAAAATCCACGATAATTTCCATCAACTTCTCTATAGTTTGTTCGTGACACACGCCTACATATATAGATTTAATAGTAGAAGAAAAAAAAAACAAGGTGCTAGTTCTGTAAATAACAGAGGTTTCAGTGCCATGCATGTAATTATCCCAAATAGGCTTATATATATTGATATATATCCTCGTATAATATCAAATTTATAAGCTATAATGTCAAAAATCAGAAAAAAAATTTAGCGGCTCATTTGGTATTATTTATTTATTTTATAAACCTACGAATTTGTTCTTATGTACCGCAGGGTGAAGTGGGCCGGATGGGAATTTCATTTGAAAGCGGATTCGAGAGCGGGCTTAGTGGTATCGGAGGCAACGGTTGAGGATCCGATAACGGGAGAGAGGAGGAGCGTGCTTTACGAAGGCTACGCCTCGGAGCTCTTTGTGCCCTACATGGATCCGACGGATGCATGGTACTTCAAAACCTATATGGATGCGGGAGAATACGGATTCGGGTTGCAAGCGATGCCACTTGTCCCGCTTAACGATTGCCCCCGCAACGCATATTACATGGACGGAATATTCGTCGCCGCCGACGGCCGGCCTTATGTCAGGGAGAATATGATTTGTGTTTATGAGAGTTACGCCGGCGATATTGGGTGGCGGCATTCGGAGAGCCCCATAACGGGAATGGAGGTGAGGAGGGCATGAGCAGAACCAATATTTTTTTTGAGGGAGGACAAACTATCCCCCTTGGACAATTGTGAGGAGGGACAAAATGTCAAATTTAATCTTCTATATAAGTGAAAATTCTATATTTGAGGCTCGGCAATTGCCCCTCCTAGACCCTACTTAGGTTCAACCCTTATAGGAGAAGTTATAGAATAATAATGATGGTTGAAGGTTTTTTATTTTTGTTCTTCAATTTTTATTTATTTATTTATTTATTTTGTGGTTTGTTTTGTTGTAGATAAGAGAGGTTAGGCCGAAGGTGACGCTTGTGGCGAGGATGGCGGCATCAGTGGCGAATTACGACTATATTGTGGATTGGGAGTTTCAGACGGACGGCATCATTCGTGTCAAGGTTAATTTCTTTTCCTTGGATTCTTTTTTATCTTTGACAGACGCACACACATACAACATATACATATACAGATACATACAAATACAGATATATACATACACATGTAGATATAGATGCATATACACATATATATATCTGTCACACACACACACATATAGAAGATTTTGATCATACACATCACACAAATCTTATGTATTTAAATATCTAATACCAAAATTTTAATTTTTATGTGCGTGTTACTTCTCCTCGTATGCATGAAAATATATATTTCACTTTTTATAAGTTAAAATGATAATATTTTTTGATGTAATATGAAAGATTCTGAGTAACGTAAATGCTAAAAGTAAAATTTTGTTGTAAGATAAGTAAATACATAGGAATATGGTGGTATGTATGTCAGTACATGTTTGTTTATTTGCTTAAAATTTTAGTTTAGATTAACCTTAATATTATTAGATTTATTTTTTACATTAGTCCCATATATTAAGAAATTTATTGCAACTATATCAAAGCAAAAACAACATTTCTTTTAAGCTATTTATCATAAGAATATATATTAAAATGTTAAAAAATTTACTCTTAATTAAAATGCTCTTGAGAAGTCAACCGAATATAACAGGTAGGTCTCAGCGGTATCCTCATGGTGAAAGGCTCGCCTTACACGCACGTAAAGCAATTCCCATCCAAGCAAGACACATACGGCACTCTGCTTTCAGAAAACATAATCGGAGTCATCCACGACCACTTCATCACTTTTCGACTCGACCTCGACGTCGACGGCACTAACAACTCCTTCGTGAAGGTCGAGCTTGCCAGACAGAACACCGAGTCCGGCGAGTCTCCTCGCCGGAGCTATCTCAAGGCGACGCGGCATGTCGCCCGCACGGAGAAGGAGGCGCAGATCAAGCTTAGCCTCTACAAACCACACGAATTCCATGTCATCAATTCGGAGAAGACGACCCGAGTTGGAAATCCGGTGGGTTATAAGGTGGTTCCGGCCGGCACGGCGGCGGCGCTGCTTGACGTGAATGATCCCCCTCAGATCAGAGGTGCATTTACTAACAACCAGGTAAGAAAAAAAAAAAAAAAAAACCAATCTTTTTAATGCTGGTTCATATATATATATAAATACAATTTGTATGAAATTTCTATACTTCAAAATTTAATATTTGGCACACAATTTTGAAAATTTAATAATAAGAAAAATATAATTTTTTTCTGGACTGCGTTCCTGCCTTACTGCAGATATGGGTGACGCCACGCCACAACAACGAAGTCTGGGCGGGCGGGCTGTTCGTGTACCAGAACAAAGGGGAGGACACGTTGGCCGTCTGGTCTGAGAGGTATGCAATACAATAGGAATAAAACAAAGGGTTATTTGCATACATAGCACACTAATCTTATGTATTTACACCGTCGAAAGTTTCATATGTACACATAAAATATTTAAATTTTTAATATCACCTAAAATAACAATACTATTTTTTTAAAATAGTGAAATAAATAATCTCATATATTAATTTAAAACATCAAAGTATTAAGTGAGATATATAAATACATGAGCTTTGTGTGTGCTACGTGTGTAATTTTCATGCCACACTCCTATATATTTATATTTGGGAAACTTAAATTTTATTTTTTACATTTATACCATTCAAATATTTCATATCACAATAAAAATACTCTTACTTTAACTATTAAAAAATATGTGCATGTTTTAATGCATAATTAAGGTGATATTTAAATTAAAATTGAAGTATAAATATTAGATATGTAAATATATATAGGAATTTAGTGGTATGCATTTAAATCTTACTAAAGTAAATTAAACTCGACCTATTAATTTTAGCTCGTAAATTACTAAAAGAATAATTATATTAAACTAAAAAATCATAATAATTCAGAAAAAAAAAAAATCATTGTGTGCTACTGATACTGATTTCAAATTGAAATTTAATAGGAACCGTCCGATTGAGAACAAGGACATAGTATTGTGGTACACGCTGGGATTTCACCACATCCCATGCCAGGAAGACTTTCCGGTAATGCCCACCGTCTCCTCCAGCTTCGATCTAAAGCCCGTGAACTTCTTCGAGAGGAATCCGATCCTCAATTCGGCCCCTAATATGGAGAAAGACCTTCCCGTCTGCACAGCTGCTGCTGCTGCTTGATTTATTCGAGGGGGTTTGCTGTAAATATGGAGGATTTCATGGTTTTAACGGTAATTTCTCATGTAAATTATGGTTTACATGCACTTTGATGATGGCTTTTGATGAAATGTGATAAAACCATGAAACTTGCTATGTTAGTGCAGGTTGATTATTTTAGTTATTTGGGATTGGTATTATGAATTCAATGGCATGCAAGTATAAACATGGTTTTATTGAGAAAAATTTAAGGCAACCTTTGGGAAGAAATGTGACTCTAGGTTAATACATAATAATGCCCTCAATAGTGAATTTGATGACCTCTAATTTGCTAGCTAGTTTTAGAGTTTTAGCCTTCAAACCATCCAATATGTGAGCCTTAATTTATCAGTCATTATTTGGAAGGAAGCAACATTAACAAAGTGGTAAATTAAGTTAAGTAATGCTAGAAGGAAAGCTAAGGAAACCCAAAATGTTGCTTAAATCCATGGGTATTTTGCATGGCTTTAGAGTAGCAAATCAGACCTTTGGTAGAAGTTATTATATGATTGGAGGCTATATATAAGATATAAAGAAGGCTTTTTTATGTAAGAGACATTTTCATGATTTGCTTTGTCAAAAAAAAAAAAAAAAAGTATATATATATATGATAAGATAGATAATAGTCCAGGGTATGGTTGATGGAAGTGTAATCTTCTGTACAAATTTCATGATCCAGGCGGTTATAGTATCTGTCAATAACTATGCAAAAAAGAAAATGGGCTAGTGAACAACCTTGTTAAAGCCTTGTATTGGAAGGGAAGTACCTTCAAGAGCCACTTCGATACAGATATGAAGCATTATTGATATACTCAATCCATGAGACAACAAGTATAAGGAACCCTTTGAGAAGCATCCTATTTATGATAAATTTTTGGTTGATTTTGTCAAAAGCATTCTTTATATCTTGCTTAGCACAAAAGATGAGGATTGGAGTTGAAGGTAAAGTTGTTGAGGATCTCATCAGTGATAATGATATTATCAATTGTACTCATGTTTGACATGAAATTAGCTTGAGTATCATGATTGATATTAGATATGATAAGTGTGAGCCTCTCTGTAAGGATTTTGGCAATATTTTACAAATGCCAATGTATATGGGTGTTGCAGCTACATCTAATCTGCTAGAGTTCCGCAATGTCCACTTTTCCATCGATTTTCCAATTTGTTATTCATGGATCGAGCCACATTTGCTGAGATTGTGGCTAACATTACTCTTTCGCAGGGATTTGAGGCATCTAACTTAATATTCCCTAAAAAATTTCATGAAGGTATTGATAGCAACTCGACACTGTTCAGGAAACCAGTATGGTAAACCAACAATCTACATTTTGGAGGCTGATTTGGATAAGTTAGTTGAGCCTTTGAAGAACACCCTTATTGATAAATTTCAACTAAGTCATCCAAAAATGGAAGTTGTTAGAAGATTTTTTTATGTTGAAATTAGTTGGAAGTTGGAAAATGGGTTTATTTGATGGTAGACATATCATGATTCATCTAAGTTGGGAGGAAGACTATGTTAAATTTTTCTCCAAGAAGATCCTTCATATTGAAAATAGGGTGATGGAAGTGTTGAAATGGTCATTGAATTTTGATGTCCAATCTGAGCCTTCTAGTGCACCTATTTGATTCAAATTTCCCAGGTTTAGATTACATCTATTTAATGCTCAAATCCTCTTCTCCATCGGCTCAATATTTGGAAGACCCATAAAAGTTGATTACCAGCTTAATCTGAGTAGACTATCAATTGCAAGGATTCTAATTGAAAGGGATATTACTCAACATGTCCCAAATGAGATCTGAATTGGCTCCACTCATAAAGGACATTGGCAATAAGTGGTGGTGGAACAAAAACTATATTATTCTGGTCACTGCAGGATGTTTAGTCACCCCTTTGAAAATTGCCATGTAGCTCATCGTGAAATGAGAAGAGCGACCCCAAACAATAGAAGGGATGATATCGGGAATGAGGTTGATCAGTAACAGTTGAGAAAGTTCATCCATCTTTCACTGAGGAAGCTATTCAAGTTATAGAAGTCCAAGAAGATATTCAACATCTACAAGGATAGAGGGAAGCTCATCCAACTTTCACTGAGGAAGCTATTCAAGTTATGGAAGCCCAAGAAAATATTCAGCATCCACAAGGAGTATCCTTTAATATGAAAATGGACATTAGACCAAATGAGGAGGAGAATCCAAATTTGGGTATAGAGAAGAATTATAAACAACAACATGATGTAATAGGAGATGCCAAGAGGGATCTTCTTCAAATGGGTTTAGTTGATTTGTATTTGGGAAATTGTGAGTTGACGAATCTGATAGGACAACACAATGGAGATGACAGGAGAGTTGAGTTGCCTCTGGATGGGGAAACAATTAATGTTGTTTATGCAGTTAGGCAGGAGCTTGAGGAAGAATGGCTTATACAGAAATCAAGAAGGAAGAATGGCTTATACAGAAATCAAGAAGGAAGAAGAATAAATGTACACAAGAGTTTCAGAAACTGCGACAGACATATATACTTGGAGATCATCCTCTACCTTCTAATGATTTGGGTGGTCCTTCCTCTACTAAACTTTTTAAGAGAGGTAAGTCACAACACTATAATTAAAGCTTTGTTTTGGAACATTAATGAGGTTGTGGATACCAACTCCTTTAATCGTTTAAAGTTTATATATTAAGATCCATAAGATTTTGTGTTTTGCTATTTTTGAAAGGTGAGACACAAGGAGAAGGTCATTAGGAAATTTGGTAGATTTAATCACATAATAAACCACAATAATAAAATCTGACTGTTTTGGAGGAAGGGGTTCATTATGAAATTATTGATTGATAATGTACAATTTTTTGCATATGGAGCTTGAGTTGGATGGTATCATGGGCAGTGTAACCTTTGTTTATCCTGGTTGTATTAGGGAAGAAAGGAGTGAATTGTGAAGAGCATTGGTGGAGCTTGGCTAAATTTTGGTGCATTGGTGGAGATTTTATCATGATTTGTAATCAAGCTGAGAAGAAGGGTGGTAGACAGGTGAATCAATTGTCGGTTAATCATTTCAATGATGTTATTGAGAGAGTTGGTTTATTTGATTTGGGGTATAGTGGCCCTCACTTCACTTGTAAAAGGGGGAAGTTTCAAGAACTTATGGACATATTTTTAGCTAATCAAAAGTGGATGAAAACTTTTTCTTTTTATGAAGTATTGCACTTGCCTAGAACTGGTTCAAACCATAATCCCCTTTTATTGAGTCTATCAACTATTCCAAAGCCTAGACATACTTCTTTCATATTGTTAAATACTTGGACAAATTATGACGGCTTCATGGACTGTATCAGGGATATTTGGAAGAATAAGTTTTCTGATAATAGTTGGATTAATCTTTGGCGGCTTCACAAATGCACAACTAGGAAATTTCGGGTATAGAATATATAGGTATTCGGTGATGTCCATCAACTAGTTGTTAATGCTGAAGAGAAAGTGAGAAATTTGAAAATACAATTTGCTGAAGATGAGTTCTAGGATCAGGGGGATTAGGATCTTGTTAAGGCCCAAGCTAATTTAATGTAATTTATTTAATGGGAGGATGATTTCCTAAGTCAAAAAGCTGCAACAATAAATTTTACTGATACGAATAGAAAAAAAAATATTACTATGTTTGTCTAAGAGCTAGAAGAACTAGGAAGGTCATATTGAGAATCAAGGATGAGAGGGGGCAATGGGTTGAGAAGCTGCCCAATATCGAAGAAAGTGGGGTGGAGTTCTTCCAACAATCATTTTCCAACCAAGGCTCAGTCCAGCCTATGATTGATCAGTCTCTCTTTAATGATTGTAGAGAATATATTGAAAATTTGAATCCAACTGTTGTTCCTGAGGATTTAGAGGTGTGGAATGCTGTAAATTCTACAGATAGCAATAAAAATGCATGTTTTGATGCGTATATGGTTGAGTTCTATAACAAATGCTGACAAATCATCAAGGCTCTGTGATTGATTCTGTGAAATATTTTTTCTTAGGTGTTGAACCACACAAATATTTCCTTACTTCAACTATTACAATTATTCATAAGAATCATGAGAAGGACTGCCGGAATCACTTCCGACCCATTAGTCTGACTTTCATTTTCTATAAGGTTATCAACAAGATCATTGTTAATCAACAGCAACCTCATTTGTCTGGCTTAATCGCCCCCAACCAATCCAATTTTACCAAAGGGAGTTGCATTATGGAGAACATTCTAATGTGCATACGAATGATTACCGATTTGGATAAGAATTGTAAAAGGGATAGCATGATGATCGAGCTGGATATAAGGAAAGCTTATGATACTATCGATTGGAGTTTCATTATTATTGTTTCAAAGCAAGAGGTTTTAAGGAAGATTTTTGTAATCTCATACAGAGGTCACTGAACAACAACTATTGCATTGTGCTTATTAGTGGTCCGTGTTGTGGTTATTTTAAGACTCGAAACAAAGTGATCCATTTTCTCCTACAATCTTTATTCTTGCATTATTTGTTTAGAATTATTAACATATTGCAATGGAGGCCGACATAAACTAGATATTCTCATAGGGCTAAATCTTCAGTTTCCCATCGTGCCTACGCTGATGATGTGGTGCTATTCATTAATGCAAGCAAACAATTCATTGAGAAGACTTGAGAGATTGTGAAGATGTTTGAAATCAGCTTTGGGATGGAGTTTAACAAAAATAAATGCAATTTTTTTTTGTGGGAAAGAATTCCTTTTATGTTAAAAAATTGGATTAAAAAGCATACTAGTTTCAGGTTTTCAGAATTTCTAATTCACTATCTTGGGATTAAACTCATGGCACAAAAAAATTAATCACTTTCAGGAAGTGGTGGATAAAATCAGAGAGCTTATAAATTGCTGGACTAATTCTTTTTTATCCATTGATGGTAAAGTCACTTTAATTAAAAACATTTTGAATTCTATACCACTTTACACACTTCAAGTACTGAAGATGAAGAGGAAAATATAGGCTCTGCTGGAGAATTTGTTCAATAGGTTTCCTTGGTCAGGTAATTCTAAAAGCATAAATTGGGCAAGTTGGAAGAAACTTTGTAAAACAGTGGATGCTGAGTGGCTGGTTCTCCATGATCTTACTTTTCTTTCTTACATCAATTATATGAAGCTGTTGATTAAATTCAGATC